CATCGCTTAAATATACAAGGTTATTGCAGTAGTACCCCCACCTAAATCGTTTTATATTTTTAAGAAATTAAAATGATGTTTTGATTGGCTGTATATTATATGAATTGGCGGCATATTCAAAATGTTAACATATTTAACATTCATGCAGTATATTATACTAAACTGTTACTATACCAAGTATAACAAATATTTTCTTTAATTTGTATACTATAATTAAAACGAATGTTGAAACAGTAGCCTTCTGGCTCGTTTCGTTAAAAGTGAATGACAACACTGTGGTTAATGGTATCACTTTTTCTATTTATTTTCACGTAAATATGTACAATTGTATATAGCATAGGGGGTCGATTCGTGACAGCCAGGCTTGATAGCGAGCTGCCGGATATGGCGTTTTGTCACGACGAAGCTCTGTCCTATCCACAATTTAGGGGCATAGGGATATTTATATAACATATAATCAGGGTATGGGGCCGACCACGGGTAGTGTCTAGCTGTGAAGCGACTGCTACTGTGAATCTGACCCGGGAAGGCAAGCTCTCAAAAGCGGCCGTGGGCGAGTTGGGGGAACAACCGTGTACTATGTAGCTGGAGGTCCTTGCGAGGAGTCTGGGATCTTATTCTCGAGATCGATCGACAAGAAGTCGTGTGAGACTAAACTCGAATGATTATGTCGTAGTCGACTGCAAAACGCTATTCTCCAAAAGCATTCGACTAAAATTAGTCGCATTCGAGATTATGTCGACTAGTAATAATCTTGTCGAGTGAACCACAATGGTATAACCTAAAATTAATTTATTATCAGAAATATTCCCGCCAAAATATGATATATTGATACCACGAATTAAGATATATCTTAATTTGTGATTGATACTGATTGTTACTACTTACTAATCAAATTGTTTAATAAATTGTTAATTCTTGTTATACCTAATATACCTATTATTACCTATTATATTACCATATTAAATTTAATTTGTCATGCCTATTATCATAACGATCTACTGACTGTCTTGTGTATACTCATCGTCACTCGTCTAGTCGTTTCGTCTGTCATCAATCATCATTAATTTGTCTTTTCTGTCGTTATTAATATTTAATTAGTCACTCGTCGTTCAATACAAGTCGTCTCTTCAATTTATTTAATTTACAATAAGGACATAAGGTAGTACATTTTTTGAATTAAAGGTGTTGACACAGGTGTTGATCTCAGTACGATAGTCATAGGTGGTCCTACGAGTGCAGCCACTGCACCTGACATTGCAATTTTTAACCACCATATTTCTTTTATTGTTTGTTATCATATAATTATTCATAACTCATAGTTAGGTACTTTATAATTTATATATCTTTGCATAAATCTATACAAAGATATATTTTTCTGATCAAGAACTCGGTTGTTAGTTGTTAGTTTGTAGTTCTTATGATAAATCATGAATAGCCTTCAGATCACAATGTAGAGGAGATCTTCTCTACACCGTGATGGATATTATATTACTACTGACACTATTCATTAGTACTATCATACATGTTAGTCGCATTCAATTTCCGTTTATGCCATTTATGCTTTTATGAATTTTAGATCCTTACTCGTTATCTTTTAAAATTGTTAAATTATTGATAGGCATTGATCTTAATTTATTTATTAAATTATTTATCATGATGAGTATACATAAAGCATAGTACGAATATGTTATAAACTACTTGATTTACTGATTTTTTTAAGCCTAAAACTATGAAAAAAAATTGGACGTGTATCATCTCAGTCTGTTTTGATGGTACAAGTACCATGCCTACTACTAGGTACAGTATTGGAGGAGTACAAGCTAAGTGTAAAGTGTAAAATAAAAATATTCTATATTATGTCCACAGCTATGCTCACTGTCTTCATTGGGCCCTAATAGATTCTATATGTGAAAAGATAAATTCATCATCCAGTTTAAAAATTAATGGATGTATATTTAATTTTGTTGATACTATACAATGTATTTATATTTTTATCGAAGGAAGTCCTAGAAGAAATGTTATTTTAGAAAATGTAATTGCTTAATTTGGTCATAGATTTACAACATTGAAATTATTATCTATTATATTGTGTGTGTGTGTGTGTGTGTGTGTGTGTGTGTGTGTGTGTGTGTGTGTGTGTGTGTGTGTGTGGTATAGGTAGGTATAGGAATGTTTGTTAGGTCTACTAAACCTTCAATTTGGCAGTTTTAATTATAAAAAAAAAAAAACCTTTATATATAATATAAGAAATACTAGATTATTGATCGATACATTTTGTTTATTATAGTATTTAAGGAAATGCATAAATAATACTGTTTATTTGATTAAAAGGTTTATTTTGTCTTTTGTCTGAAATTGTTTTCATGATATATATTATATATTATAAGATATTATAATGGCAAAAGTATCATCTCGCCCGACCCAACAACAGATGCAAGAGCTGGTTGAGTTGTTAAGACTTGACCCTCAACTTGTGTCTGGGAAGTTTACGGCCATATTCACTCAAAAGGTTGCTCAAAAACGTTGGGAAGCAATCGCGGAAACGCTTAATGCTTTACCCGGCGTCAATAAGTGCTGGACCAAATGGCGTAAAGTATGTTTTGTATAAAATAAAAAGTAAAAGTTATTATCTAGATAAGTTGGCAGTGGGTACCATGGCGTATAATTTAGATTGTTGTATTATATTTTATTTAGTACATTTTTTTATTTTCTATTTAGTATTTTTTGAATACTTATAAAACACATACAGTATAAATATTGAAATACCACTTTCTTAGCATATTTTGTAGGTACAAAAAAAGAATTTTAATTCTTAACTAATATATATGTAAATTAGACTAATCAAAAATTGAAAATCATATAGGTACGTACCTACTCAAATATTAATTAGTTGAAAGTTTCATTTATACTATTAATTGGATTGTTAATTCTTAGACTTGGCAAGATACCAAAGCTTCTACAAAAAGTAAAGCTGCGGCCATGTCCAACTTTGCACGTAGGGGTACTGGAGGTGGACCACCAACTGAAACAGTATTGAGTGATGTTGAGGAAAGTGCCCTCCAGCTAATTAAGCCTGTTGCAATAACAGGTCATACTATGTCCTCTGCATCACATGCACAATTTTCATTTGAACCTGGTACATTATGATATTTTTGAACTAGTTATTGGCACAATATTTATGTACTAGATCACAAGTTACATTAAATTTGTACTAAATATTAGTTTTAAATACTTTTAGAGCAATTAGTTACTGATGCGTATGAGAGCATAGATGATTTATTGGAGAAAACTTCATCAAGTCCTGATCTTTTCCCTTCCTGTTCTTTCCAAATAAATGAAGCTCCTCATCCTACTACTTCTGATGAAAATAGTAAGATTTAAAATTTACATCTTATATAATATATACCATTTTTTTTTTATTTGGATAAAAATTAGAAATTTTAAATTATATCTTATTAGAATAAAATAATAGGACTTTTTGAATTTTTAAAGATATGTCTGCTTGTAAAATGATTGAGGAAGTTGAAAATAATGTTGTCACAATCCAATCTTTTCCTTATCCAGTGTTCCCTAAACCTAATTATGGTCAACAATCTTGTAAGTATCATAAGGTGTATTTTTATCCTAAGAATACTTACATAATTATATATTTGTATAACCTTTTTATTTCCAATAGGTAAGTATCATATTATAACAATTTATATAGTGTACAATATTGTTTGTTGAACTAAAATTATTTAGATAACAGTTTACTAACAGTATTATCTGTTCTTATTTATTCTTAAAGCAATTACCAGAGAACAAGTTCCAGGTAAACGCACATCGTCAGCTGCTCGGTTAGATGAAAGCAATGTAATTGCTAACAGGCTGGCAGACTTGGGAGAGCGTAAATTGTTGGCCAAACAAAAATATTGGGACCAAAAACTTTTACTTTTGGCTGAACAAAATGAATACTTAAAATCTATTAGGGACTCCTTGCTTTCAAACCATAATAATGAAAAGAGTAATATCATTATTTTATTAATCATTATTCTTATTTTATAAGTCATAACCTTATTAACTACTATTTTTTTTTACTATATTAATTTCAATTGAATAATACTATTCAACAAAACCATACAGGAACAGATCTAGTTCAAAGTTATCTTTCTATATTTCTTAATTTCTTAATTATTTCCTATAAATGCAAATTTCTATAAATTCCTAGCCTGCATTTGTTTAATATTATATAGATCTGCGTCTGTAATCATATCATAATATCTTATTTGCGTTTAATATGTAGTTATTGTCTGACTAGTTTTTGAAATTTTATTAATTAATATATCTTATATATATATTTGTGGGAGTGTGTGTTATTATATTATCATTTAATTAAAGACTATCTAACCAAACATAAATGTAATAAAATAATTAATAGCGCTAGTGATTTTAAATGTTTACCTATAAACTAAAATCTTTTCTTAGAATATAACACTCTAAAAGTTGATCCTTTTTAAATTAAGTACATCATTTTGAAAACATTGTATGTCAATGATAATACTCATGATGTGAAGTATGATTGGCTTTCTTTATTGTTTATTTGATGTACATAAGATAGATTTAATTAAATGATATTATATGCCTATTGTAGGTTTGTATTATTTTTATTATTTTACAATTATTGGTAAACCTATAACATTTTGTTTATTTGTTTCTTATTATTCTTTTTATTTGTTTATTTTTTCTAGCATAATAGCAATGGTTTCCTTTCCACATTTCCATTTTATTTAATCACAATTCACAATGTTATCTATTTTTTTTATACAAATTTCTTATTTCTCCTTTATGTTTATAATTCCTTCATTATTCACTTTATCCTATTACTACAGTACCTATATTTATAGTGCTACTAACTTATCTTACTAATAGTAAAAATTACTTAATTAAAATAAAATATTTTAGACCGGATGTCAATTATTAAAAAAGTTTTAATTTATTTTCCTTTTTTTAAAAAACTGTTACTCATTTTGTACAAAATTGCGTACAACACATGCACGTACACGTCTTCCATTATCCAAATCATTGGATGAGTCATTTTCACGTTGGCCAATGTTATTTCTGTACATGCCAAAATCAATGTCAATCATATTGTCTATAGGCTCAGGCTCATTGTATGTTATACACATATTGTGTAATACTACGCAAGCATTTATTATGGCTGTAGCTTTTTCAGGGGCATAGTGTAGAACTCTATGTTTCAGTAGGCACCTTAAATAAATGATTATGCTAAATTCTGATCATAGGTTCTAGGAACTAATTATTTTAAAAATGAATACATACCTAAACCTCATTTTTAGCAACCCATTACACCTTTCAACTAAACTTCTAGTGTGCATTTGTTTTTTATTGTACAGTTCCTCATTTGCATTGGCCGGGTTTTGAATTGGTGTTAAAAGCCAAGGTCTAAGTGCATATCCAGAGTCTCCTAGATAGTAGATACCAAGTATATTTAATCCAGTTAGCAGTTATATTACTATATAGTGTTAGTAGGATAACTAATACTATCAGTGTATGCAGGATAACAAGAGGTGTAGGGTATTTTTACTTTTAGGTAATTAAAGTTAAATACATACAATGTTATTTAATGGAATAAATAGTTTATACCAGCACTGTATACTAATACTTAAGAGGACGCCACAACTGTAATTTAATCTCCAGAAAAATGTAAGTTACACATTTTGAAGGTAATTTATTTATTCGTGCAGGCATTATTTTAGATAGGTAATCCACAAGTGATTATTTTATGGCAATAAATATTATTTTGATTGGGGTGTAAATAATGGAAAAAATTATATTACAAAAAGCAAGTTTCATATGGGAAAGATTTTTTCAAACAATTTCCGTCTGGTATGGCGTCCTAATATGCTCAATATAGTCAATACTAATATGTATAATTGTATAATACATTACTATCTACTATACTACAGACTACAATGTTGTAGTAATGTACTATGCTTCAATTTACTATAGGTACCTACCCAGCAGATAAAAACATTGTTTACGCCTATTTAATTCTTGAAGAATTGGTAGCACATTACAATTATTCCAAATGTGGCTATCGTGTGTACTTCCCGGAAACAGAGCATTAACACTTAATATTTTTAAATTCACATCACAAATCTATTTGACAGTAAGTAATTTACATAATATTAAATATTATCAACATAGTGTCATAGTTTCGATTCTAATAAATCGGTTTTTGATTTCATAGTTGTTATTACAATAGTTATTTAATTTTGAAAATAAGTCTTACTAATTGAGTATTTATAGAATGGTAATTTTTTCTGTTAACATATAAATGTTCAGGATAGTCGTTTTCCTCTCTAAGAATTCCCGATGGAGGTACAATAGCAATATGAGTGCAATCTATGCACCCACATACTCCAGGAAATCCTGTTTTCATATAAAATATAATAATTAAAAAATGTTAATTAGTAGTATGAAGAGTATTTCAAACTGTGTGTAGACATGTAGTGAAGGTATTATAATATTCAGTGGACAGTGGTATACTGTATACTGGCATACGTCCTATCATTGATTATAAATAGTATTTATAATCGATGGTCCTATATAATATACATTATACATACTCATTTCGCAACTGTCTTAATTCCGACATATTTTTAGGAAATTTTACCCAATTATGGAAAATGCTAGGGTGGTTCAGCGCATTAGTTACTTCGCTTATACTGCGTGAAACCGAAGGTTGAGACACGGCACTATATCTGGAATTACCTGTTGGCAACTGATATGACCCAGTTCCAAAAAACTGCAATGCAATTAAAACCTAAGAACATATTTTTACATTTAAAATAGTATAAGTACCTACCTTATTATTGTTATTAATTATTATTTATTACCTTATTTTGGATGCTCAAAGCCGACGTACGTTTTGGTGGTTCCATAAATGGAGTGACTAACTCGATTAAATATTTTGTTAAAACTTTACTCAATCGGTAAGTTTTTATAAAAAGATTATCACTTAATGCTAATAAAGGGTCTACTTTAATGCCAAACGGTTGTCTGACATTTTGAGCTTCTTGCCTCTCTATATTAGCAATAGCAAACATCATAGCTCTTTCATATTCATTCGCCATTATTGTTATATTTAATAAAATATTAACTCAGCAGTTATAAAATAAAACAACAATAATAAATTAACAAAATGAAAAAGTAATCGACAATCGTAATACAAGTACCTAAACAAAAGAATACAAGATGACTTATCAATAATCATAGTATTCTGCAGTTGATTTGTGTGAAATATATTAAATCTATGGTGCTCGAAATTAACAAATCATTCGACTAAATTTTGTCGGATGCGATATAGCAGTAGACATAATGTCGAACGTTTTTCGTTCGAGAAAAGTCATACATCATTTCGAGAATACCATGGACGACGAATCGATCGAGTTCGACGATGAATCGATCGAGTTCTGATTTATGTCGAATGCGACTAAATTCGAGAATAGGGCCCCAGGTCCGTTTGGTATCACGTCAATTGTTCGCCGAAAATAGTTCGCGCGACAATTGCTCGCGCGTCTAATGTTCGCCTGGAAATTGTTCGTGCAAAAATTGTTCGTATGTTCACATAACATTAAATAAAAATATATAAATAATTGTAATAATAATAATAATAATATACTAATAATACATAAAAAACAATTATAATGTTGAGTATTTTTCCACGTTTATGGATGTCAATAATATTAAGTACATAGTTTTTATATTTGTAGTTGGAAATTGTATGCAACACCACGAAGGTAATCCATTGTTGCACGGTTATTATAATCTGCACATATTTTTTTAAAATTTTCACTTTTATTTTCATATATTTTTTTTGATGGTGGTTCTTGACCCGCGACATACTGCTGAATTTTTAAAGTATTAATAATTTCTTCTTTTTGGAGTGCATGTATAAATCTCCAAATTGATGGATGTTTGGATGAATTAAGTGTAGACGAAAAACAATTGTGCCATCCTTCAACTGAATTATTAGTTCGTGGAAGGTCTGCCGCTACTACATCATAACAATTCCATACACTAATGGGGATGATCGGATCTCTTCTTTGGCCTCTACGATGCAAACGGCCAATCCAGGTGCCCTCAAAGTAGTCTATAATTGGCATTAAAAGTTCTTCATTTTCAGAAAAGTATTCAGAGTCTAAAAGTTTTTCATAGTCTTTTATAACTTTGTTTTGTGGCACAAAAGCAAGAGCAGGTAACATACGAATATGTAAGGCAAATTCAGAATCTTGTATGTAATTTTTTTGTAACCCAGCTTCTTTTAAGTGGCGCCAAATACATTGTGATAGGTGAAAAAAACATCCATTAATTGAGGTATTTGGAAATTCAGATTTAACAGCATTCATCGCTGCTATTTCGAAATCCATCATAATAGACTTGGGATTTAAATTTTGGTATAATGATTTAAGGCCTTAAACATTTGTATATATTTATCTTCTTTTTTGTCGGGTAGAAGAGCGTAAGCAGAAGGGATAACATTTGATAATGTACAGCGTGAATGGTATATAACTGTTGTCTGTTTAAACGGAATAGGTGAACAAGTAAAAGTGCCATCGCAATAAAATAAATGATGGTCAAAATTACTGGTTGTACTGTTGTTTGATTTTTGTGACAGGTATGTGTTAGTATTAGTATTGTTATTAGTAGATAACTACTATTCCAGAACACATTGGGATTTTTGTGCCCATTATATAATGTTCGATAACGAGATACGTTATCGATATGGTTTTAAAACTTCACACATTTCACACTAAATCAAATAGTATGTTATTTATACTGCCGTATAGATTACAAAATATATTACGTGATAATCAAGTCTTATTATTTTTTTTTTTACGAACAATTCATGCACGGACAATTTTCTTATTCAAACAATTTCCATGCGAACATTAGACGCGCGAACTATTTTCGGCGAACAATTGACGCATATCCGGTCCGTCTGGTACCCTTATCTGGCTCGTTTTTTGCGGCGTCGGTTCCCGTCGGTACGGATCTGTGTGTTGTTAGCTGGGTTTTTTGGTTACAGCCATGGGGAGGGCCTCATTATATTTGGCCTGATCTCCCCTATCCATGGCAGTATTTGTTAAGTTGTTAACGTGGTTGAAAGAACTTATATTTTGTAACACAGCTCTGACCACTGTAATTTCTTGTATGGTGTGTTCTGATTGGCTGATATTGTGTAGTCCTAAAAAGGACTGTTTTAGTGAGTGATGTACTGTTACAATGTCTTGTATATTTGTATTGTACTTATAGCTTAAGTTGTGTGTAATAAATTGTTTTATTTTGCAATACATACATCATACATTCATATATTATGCCTATTTATTTATAATAAAAACAGATGCTAAAATATTCTTTTTTCGTACTACACACTTTATTTTAAACCTAAAATAAATAAAGAATCAAAATATTGATAACATAGATGGTATAGGTAGGTACATACAATTATTACCTATAGGCTATAACTATCTCCTAATATTAATTTTTCAATTAATGAAGAAAAAACTGTAAAAAAAGTTACTAGTTATATCTGGCCATAAAACACAATTTAATTTCATATTTCACACTACACACAGTGTGTCATACTAGACACAATTTTAGAACCTGCATGAAACTATGTATTCACTAATTCAGACATAGGTACTTATAAGTTTACACCACTTAATAAATAATTGAAAATAAAAGCTAATATATTATTATAACATCTGAAATATTACCATATGTACCTATATTAAACATTTATTTGATTCTAATTTTATTTGTCCATTCAAATTGTTAATAATATAAAGATAACTAATTTTCAGAATTAGTGTACAATATTGAATAGTAAAAATATAATATCCTATTAATATATTGCTAGTAGTCACAACAAACCATTAACATGTATTCCCTCATATTCATGAATGAGATCATTCCACATTATTAATGTGACATTAACAAACTGTCGTTGTTTGTTTATAGCCCACTTTATACGACTCATTTATGAATGGTTCACTTTAACAGCCTCAAAAGTGAGGAAAATATCAATTACCAAACACAACAAAGAACAGAAATATGATTTTTTAGAAAAAATTATAACACTATTTGAAATTGGGAATAGTTGGAAGCCGTTGAATGTTGAATGTTGGTTTCACACTTTCATCTTTATCTATAATAGATATAGCAGAAACTTTATTCAATTCTGGCTTTGACTTCCTAATTTGTCACAGATTTACCCAGGATGCCATTGAAAATATATTTTCGCAAGTTCGCTGAAAATCTGGAGCAATACCATCAGCAACACAATGTCTCAGTGCTTTAAAATTATTTGTTTCTCAACAACGCAAGTGTTTCCAGTAATTTGAATTTAAATGAAAAAGTAGGGCTTCTCACATATGGCCTACCTAGTAATGCATTTGAAACAAAACATTTATGTTTTTTTAGCAACTTCTACAAGTGAATTTGACTTAAATTATTTGTACCCCCTAGCTGGTAGTACTACTAATATGCTATTAAAACATTGCTGTGAAGAGTGTCGAATTATACTTCAGCAAAATCTACCTAATGATAGACAATTCAGGAGTATGAAAATATACACAACTCTATTAAATCAAGGTGGACTGAAGCATCCTTACATGGGAGTACTCCAAATTATTTGTAATTGTGAATTACTTTATAGCAAGTATAAGATGTATAAAATACACAATTCGTCTAATAATTTAATTAGTAAAATCGTTAATGATTTATCAATTGAATTCCCAGCATGTATTAAATTCTTTAATATCAAACAAATACCTGTAAAACACTTTTTTACAGTATAAGATCATATTCAACAGTTCATTTTTCTATTAACTACAAAAAAATTAAAAATATGTATGGCACAGCATCTGCCAAAAAAAGTGAATAAATAATATAACAATTTAAAAACGAAACATATTTGAATTGTTTTACAGCAAGTTTTCTAAAAATGTTTATGATTAAAATTACTTAATCACTCTTTTTATTATCTTTAACCACTTCCAGTCCTGTTAATATCATCTAAAGTTTCACAAAATATTTGTAATTTTGTTTCCAATAATTTCTTTTCTCTTTGTAACAACAACAAGTGATATTTGTTGCCCTCTAATAGTTTCTAATAAAAAGTATTGCTAGCTTCGTTAACACCTAACTGTAAAAATAAATACAATTATAAATAAATTTGATTAAATTGATATCAAACTTAAAAATATTTCTGTTTAATAAGTATATACCTGTAATCTTCTTTTCAAAATAGTATTTTATTGTTGAGCTAAAAAAATTTTTTGTCTTTCTTTTAGTAATGTTGAACTATTTACAAAATCAGAATCTTTCAGTTTAAAATTTCCATTATTGGTGGATACATCATTATTTTCCAAAAGC